CTGCTCTGGCCTCTACATTTCCCATAATTTAAGAGTCCATCATTGCCTTAAACACAAACCTTTTTTAGCTCCCCTTTGATTTTAGTTTTTGTTGTTTTTCTTTTGTCGTTTTTGCATTCGCATGTTAGAGCAATAATCTCTTTTCGTTACTTCAATGCAAAGTTATATTTCATGTCACAAAGGTCAAGAAGTAAATAAGAAACGTTTTTTTACTCGAGTTCGACTAGCACTAATAGCCCTCACTTGAAAAGTAAAATCACAAGTAACCCATGATCTTTGTAGTCCTATTTATTTATCTGCTGCAAATAAACTTAGAAAATGAGAAAGTGCATTACATTCATTATCATGAATTTATTGGCATGACTTGTGTTTTGGGAGGAAAAGTTTGTGATCAGCTCACTGTGCTTCTCCATTCCTTGATCCATTTCAGGTAACTTTCCACAGAGTCCAGCCCACAGAGCTCTTTAACAACAGGCATGGTAGCTGGAACATCTAGCTGTAACGCGTAACCAGACTCATCTCGACGTTTCCATGTACATATCTGTTTTCGTGCCTCTTTAATAGCAGCTCGTGTTGCACAGTGGACTGATGCAGCTAGAAGCAATGGTGATTCTCCTGAAGCTGCACAAATGCATTTCATTTAATTAAATCCCACTTCAAATAAACCCTTCTACAACATCAATATACACAGATTTCTCACCCTCACTACAATTGCTACCACTTTCCTCCATATCAATAAATTAGGAACCAGTTTGGAATGACTGTTTAAGGGCAAACACTTCCGTAAATATTTAGAAAGTCGTTCCAAACAGATCCTATACATGCTTTTTTACTATTTGGATGTGTCTTAGAAACAGTTTTTACTACTCATCTTGTTAAATGCTATCGTTTTTCCTTTCTTACTTCTGCGTTAAGCCTGCATATGATGGTGGAACCTATAATTCCAATGCATATTTTAGTGTTTTGCATGAGGCCTTAGCTGAAAAACCAAAAACCGTATAAAAGAAAAAGTCTACTAACGTCTACAACAGAGCAAATGAAAAGTAAAGTCAATTGGACTCTGCAGAGGAATCAAGAAAAATATCTATGGGAATGATCTTCGAAGCGCAAGGGAATTACATTCTCTTCCAACCTATAATCAAAAGTCAATGAAGTTTAAACTTACCTTTTGAAGAGAGGATGTGGTTTTTATGACGTCCAGAGTTCAAAATTTCAACATTCAACTGTTTTGGAATGGTGTCAATCGTAGGAATTTTGTAAGTCCATGTGCTGTCAGTAATAACTAGTCCATCAGGATTTGTGAGGTATTCCTCTGACATAAAAAATCCAATTCCTTGAACAAAGGCTCCTTCAATCTGCACAGAATGATTCTTGATCATTAGAAGATCTGCCCCTTGGATATCCGATCAATCTACCCCCACTTACAAATAGGTATATGAAACTTAAAAGCCTCCAAACTCAAAACTTAAGAGATTAAAAAACAAATTAGGAACTTAATTTTGTGCTTAGTGTAGCTATTAACCTGTCCCAAATCTACAGCAGGATTGACGCTTCGTCCACAATCATGGATAATATCTGAACGCAAAATTGTGGTTTCTCCCGTGAGAAGATGAAGCTCCACCTGTCAAGGCATGAATTTGGTGAATTGAACTTTGCAGTAAAATAAAGTGGCATTGAAGTAGCAGCCAACTGCTTCTTTTTAACTTGAAAATGTTGATACAATAAACACAAAAGGAGATGTTAATGGACGTGCCTCACTCACTGCAGCTGCATAGTTTAAGTAGCTCCTTGAAACAAAGTCAGGAACATACAAAGAATTAACTGATAAATCCACTGCTTGCAAGTTTGCCTGCAGTTTTTCCAACAAGAAATGTCAACGGTGTTGTGCACCCAAGGATATGTCCTCAATCAAATGTCCAACAATATTCTTATGTGGTAAGAAAACTGCTCACTTAAGGAACAAACAATGCATAATTACAAATCAACTATCAGACTAAAGAAGGGGCACATGGCTGCCACTTAGTTTCATGAATAGAATATACAATGTATAAAACCAAAACACGAAGACCTTCAACATGTGTTCAACTCAACAACAGGTCTCATGAAAATGTGGAGTTCGGAAAGTTCAAGGGTCAGTAGTTCCATAAAGCATAAAAAAGAGGAAAACAAATCACTATGTCCACGGAGAATTCATAAAAAATATCAGAAAAAACTTTGTGCACTACATCTAGGAGCTTCAAATAATTGTTTAGAAGTTAGGAATTTTTTTAAAGAAACTAATTTCATGTGAACATCTAATAATAAAACTTTCAGAAAGAAGCATGTGAATCAATAACACTTGATCATGGATGTTACTCCCACAATTAGAAAGATAATATCTCCAAACTATAGGAAGAAAAGACATCATAGAAAGAAAACATGATTGCTTAATCATAAAATGTTCTATGAGATGATGCAGAGCAGACAACAACCTGACTTATAAGAACATCCCATTTAACCGAACCACTCTCCTCCAGCCTTTTCTTGAGAGGTGTTAGTCTCTTCACCAATATATTGCAGCAAAGTCTAACTGCCTCACAGCTTGATTCGGAGGTAGTACTCGCATATGTACCCCCTCCTTGTATTAAAGCAATGGTATCAGATTGAACCACTCTCACCTTTTCCAACAGGTCACTGGTTCCATCACATTTAATTGAGCTAAGGGTATACGTAACCATCTGTCTAACCTTCGTCCACAGCCCCTGACCAATTTCAATACCCCCAACTTCCACAACAACAGAACCATCAGTTAGAATGCTCACTTTCCCTGGGGTTGGTCTCAATGTCATCTCTTGCACGATAGGAATTCGAGAAAGACCTCTTTTTTTCCAAATGTTGCTGCTATTAAATTTATCTACCATTTCTGTTCTTTGTTTCAGGCATGAAGATGTGGCTAACCTATCCCAAATTGAAGGTAAGGTGTAATCTTGAGGTTCACCTGCACTCTTGTAGAATTTTTTGAGGCTGTTAAACGTATGCAGATTTACTTTTCGGATAGTATCGACATCCATGCAAAGAGTAGATGCTACATGTTCAATTATCGCTTCAGCAATAAAGGATCCTTGTACATCTCCAGGGGCTCGCATCATAGATCTGCTTGGATAGTTTGTCTTGCATACTTTTATATCAAAAGACAAAGCACCCCAATCATACTTCTTAAGTCCATTGACAATGAAGCTTGGCATAATTGGACTTATATCAGTATTCATCCCTGCATCAACCAATATATCTAATTGACATCCTGTAATTTTACCGTTAGATTTGAAACCCACACTGTAAGTTACTTTCATTGGATGTCTCCCTCCTGCCATTACCATGTCAGTCTTTCGATTAAGGTAAATCCTGACTGGACAACGTAACTTGTGAGCTGCAAGTGCACATGCGGAAGCAACCTAAACAACATAATTGTTAAAAGGCAAGAACTCATATGTTAGAGTGTCATTCATGCTTGGGAAAATATTGAGAACATTGGCAAGAAAAAGAGAAGTGAGAAGGTTGAAAGTAAACTATAGGGAAACAATAGAAGTGAAAGTGTTGAACATAAATAAATAATGAAGAATATAACGATGTTAAAAATCATGAGAAGTTTGAGCTCTGATACACAACTATCTTATTATTTGATTCAATGTATCATCATCCTACTAACTAAGAATATAACCGAATTGAAAACATAATAAAGCTTTCAACAAAATTCACTGCTTTGAAACTGGCATGCAAGGACTACTTGGGAGTAAAATCATAATTGCATATATATACTTGATTTCTGTTCCCCGCATATTGAGAAAACACTATTACTAGTAAGTCAACCCAGAAAATTTCCAATGGAAATGGAAAATCTTGTTTTACTTGGCAGTTCAAAGAAATGCACCAGTGAAGAACCGTTTTTCAATAGTTAATTGCACATAGAGTTGGCAGCAGGTACTCACAACCATAGACTTCAAGGCCTTTCCACCAAAGCCTCCTCCAACCCTTCTCGTAATTACACGGACATTATGCTCAGGAACACCGAGGCATTTTGCAATAACAGAATGCGCATTAGCTGGCCATTGGCTTGAACTGTAGACTACCATGCAGTTATCTTCATCTGGAATGGCAAGTGCAGAATGGGTCTCCATATAAAAATAATATTGTGATCCAAGTCTGATCTGGATGTAAATATTTATGAAAACGATTAGGAGAAATGACCTATCTTTAGGATAGATAATAACTAATAACATCTGTAGCAGAATAGTTAGAAACTATTTTTTTTGGTGTGAGAAACGGTTAAGTAGGCCATGGTTGAATCTCTAACCACTACCATGATTATATTGTGGCCAAGCAATTCATTGTAGAAGGTACCTGAGCTGCGTTAATATGATTGTCTGCTTCAGCCATTCCTTTTGATATATCACCAATCTGTTCTGGAATAAAAGATGGAGGAACGTCAAAGAAGCTTGACCTCTTGACAGCATCTTCTACAGAAAGAATAGGTGCCTCCAAATTATCTGTGTCATAATCCACTACTACATTTTCTGCAGCCACATCCGCATGTTTCTGAGTATCTGCAACCTACAAAAAATGTGGATAGGTATGAAGCACCTCAGCAAGTAAGGGTTCCTCCTATGATTGAAGTTGCTATAAACGAATCATGAGAAATTCGAATTACCACGATGGCTAGTTGCTGACTTGCACCCTCAGTCAACTTATCTGCAAACAGAATTTCGTCACCAAAAATGGTTCTAACTCCAATGTTATGTCCACCCACAGGAATATCTTTGGCGGAAATAACAGCGACAACTCCCTCTGGTTGTGATTTGGGAGGAAAAGTAAGACCCTTTATCCGTGCCAAAGGCTTTGTACTATATATGAATGCTCCATATAGGCAATTTGTTGGTGAAGGAATATCATCCACATAGATAGCCTCGCCTAAAATATTCATAAGCATATTTACATTGGTTTCCTAATACTTGAGAACAAGAAATCATGTCAAATAAATAGACTTAAAAGAACATGGAACGCTAAATATTATGAGTATAAGTCTAAATTATCAAGTGAAGAATCGGCTTTGAACATGTAAGCCTTAACTTGAAGCAGTATTGGAAGTATAACAACTAGGTAATATGAGACATCTGACACTAAGTAGACTCGATCAAAGCCGAAGTTGAAAATGAAAGAAGTTCAGAATGGGGAGATACTAAATCTAATTCAAATGAGATAAAAGGCACGCGCCTTTGAGTCCATGGAAATAAAGGTAGCAAAATGTGTCAACTTAGACTGAGGTCAAACACCCACATGTACAAGTTCTGACTCATTTACGTCCCTGCCATGCAGACAAGTTTTGCTACAAAAGATTCTAGAGTTTGTGAATGTTCAATGCTCACGAGGTTAACTAAGACAATTTCATTCATGAAAGTTTAACTTCATATTATTACAAGATATAAAGTACCTGAAGCTTGAATGGCAGCTCCAGATTTTATAATGGTATCTCCGACTGGATAATATTCTGAACTCAATTCCAATGTCTGCTTTCCAGATGATAGTAGAGTAGCAGTTTTATCATAACCAAGTAGGCTGTGGTTTGAATTAAAATTTTCAGGTCGTGTTGACGAAGCATTCCTGCATCCATCTAGGTAATCTCTACCGATTGCAGCTTTTTCATCGACCAAGGAGCTTAAGAACTCAAAAAGAAAGCCAACTGCTAAGCTTGTCCGGTAAGCAGGATATGAAGTGCCCTTTTCAGGAACTATAGTGGCTCCAGTCAATGAGATAGCTTCATGTATGACATTATAATCAATAACTTTTCCAGCTAGAAATTCTTCAATCTTTCTTGCTCTAATGGCATGTTTGGTCCCATATGCTCCAAAAGCCAGGTGACAGCTATTTAATATGATCCCATTGGAATTTTTACATGGGGAGATTGCAGCCAAGAAAGCAGCATTCAGATACGGCAGTGCATTTCCAAGGGGTCGTGGAGAAGCTCTAAAACTATCAAACATGACAGTAGAATCATTTGAGTAAACATCCCGAACTGAATCCCAATTTGGAATCTTAACACTTGAAAGTACACATTTCGGACCCAGTGGAGGTCTCTTGAGAAACTCATCCAACATAATAGTTTCTTGGCTGAAACCAGTTAATATAGTTATCATGGAACCCGCAGCAAGAAGTATTGTGGCAATATCTGAAGGAAATTGTTTTCTTTGTGCCATCAATAAGTTTCCTCCGATACTGGCAATATTTCGTACAAAACTGGAAGCAATTTTCTCCATGTGGTCGGCCAGTTTATTGAACACTAGCTCACCTACTGAGGACGTTTCATGGTTATTACTTTTCAGAGCCTCAATAGCTTTTGCAATTGTCACAGTCGCACCAATCTCTATTCCTGTTGAATCTATTCTGATAACTGAAAGCTCAGGGATGTATTTAAGATTAATGTACCTATCAACATGTTCAAATTCTTTGTAGTATCCGACTTCAGTGTTGCCGACGACTAACTTCATTTTGCTTATATTACTAGAATCATCACGTCCCAGTAGTCTGTTCAGATCCTCAATACTAACGGGATTAAACCAGGAACAACCTTGAGACTCCACAAAAGGGATAGACCTTATTTCCTTTTTTAAAAATTCAGGAAATAAGCACGGTCCATTATTTGGATCATAAGGAGGCAATTTACTCGATTTATCTACTTCACCACATCCCTTTTGCCAGAACGCGTTTATCCCCAAATCCTCCATGTCAACATCAGAAGCAAAACTCTTACAGGCATCAGCAATTGGCCTGTATCCTGTACAGCGGCAGAGGTTTCCAGAAATAGCCTTTTCAGCTTCAGAAACCGTAAGTTTTGAGAATCCCGGTGAGGGCTCAGGTCGATTGGTCTTTTCAGCATTGACGAGAGCAGAACAGAGTGAAACACACATTCCAGGGGTACAAAAGCCACACTGGGAAGCATAAAAGCCAGCAAACCTTTGATGAATTGAGTGGAACCCATCCTTGCTATTCCCAATACCTTCACTGGTTGTAATTGAACAGCCATGTATACTACCAAGCAAGGTGAGGCATGAGCTTACTGTATAATCTTCGACCTTGTCTAACAAAGGATCGTATTTGGACAGTAGAACAATACAGGCACCACAACCGCCTACATTTCAAAATAACCAATCATGTCAACAGAGTTGGATCAAATGAAATTCCATGTAATGCTTTCGGCAGAGTAGAATAGTGTGCTAATGATCAATTAGAAATTGAATCCAATCCTCCCATTTCCATGGTAAAAAATAGACGAATAGTTGGAACAGAACATGTGATGTCCCGAGTTTTTTAATATTAACAAAAGGGGAATATTTTTAAAAGGGAATAAATAAATGTTACACAAAAAAAGGCGGCAGTTGAACAATCGCCAGTCGTACTCTGGCCGGCGACAGACGCAATGTGAGGAGGAGGAAGTAGGATACCAACCCCGATTAGCAGCCAGATTTTTGTGGATTTGGGGCGTTCGGGGAAGCTTAAATCAATAGAGGGCCACGGATTCCGATGGGAATGTTCATTGAGAGAGGGAAAACTCGAGAACTATACCCACGGTTGCCGGAGGAGTTGAGCTGCGAATTAGTGGAGTTTGAGCAAGCGCCGGGCCTCAAATTCATGGGGGTTTCGTTGCAAAAACATTGAACGAGAGCGTGGCGAAGGGAATTGGACCAAGGAGCTCAAGGAAGCCAATAACCGGATTTGAGTTAGGTGATTTCTTCGTGGATTTTTCCTGAGTATTCCCCATGCGATTTCTTAACGAAAACGGACGATTCTTGTGGCTACAGACTCACCGGGAGGAGCTCAACAACGTCGGTGAAAAATTCATAGGCCAAGGGCGCTTGAACGAGAAGATCGAGTTTGGTTTGAAGGTATGAATTTTTGGACATTCCGCGAGTTTCAGAGAGCATTATCTTGCTTGTTTCAAGAATCGGCGAAGCAAAGACGGAGGAAGCAGCCGGGCGGGGTTGGTCCGTCTGGAAGATAAAGATACGGTTCAAGTGAGCCGGTACGGTCAGACCGGATCAGATTTTGGTTTCTCGCCTGATTTTGGCTAATTTTACACAGATTTCTTCTAGATTTTCTTTAATGCATGAATGATGTATGACCTAGATCCTATGCGACCTAGACGATACGTATGATATGTATAACCTAGTCTTAGCTTATGATTTACTGGACCAACCATGTTTAGGGTCTGTTATGATATTATGAGTCAACTAGGCCTTTGTAGGGATGGCTAGAACGTAAACTCACTCGACTAGTGATGATCTACTTAGCATATAGGAACGTGACGTCACCCACTTAGAGTCTATGACACACTAGAGAATATTACTGAGAGAGCTCCAGTNTTTTTAAAAATTCAGGAAATAAGCACGGTCCATTATTTGGATCATAAGGAGGCAATTTACTCGATTTATCTACTTCACCACATCCCTTTTGCCAGAACGCGTTTATCCCCAAATCCTCCATGTCAACATCAGAAGCAAAACTCTTACAGGCATCAGCAATTGGCCTGTATCCTGTACAGCGGCAGAGGTTTCCAGAAATAGCCTTTTCAGCTTCAGAAACCGTAAGTTTTGAGAATCCCGGTGAGGGCTCAGGTCGATTGGTCTTTTCAGCATTGACGAGAGCAGAACAGAGTGAAACACACATTCCAGGGGTACAAAAGCCACACTGGGAAGCATAAAAGCCAGCAAACCTTTGATGAATTGAGTGGAACCCATCCTTGCTATTCCCAATACCTTCACTGGTTGTAATTGAACAGCCATGTATACTACCAAGCAAGGTGAGGCATGAGCTTACTGTATAATCTTCGACCTTGTCTAACAAAGGATCGTATTTGGACAGTAGAACAATACAGGCACCACAACCGCCTACATTTCAAAATAACCAATCATGTCAACAGAGTTGGATCAAATGAAATTCCATGTAATGCTTTCGGCAGAGTAGAATAGTGTGCTAATGATCAATTAGAAATTGAATCCAATCCTCCCATTTCCATGGTAAAAAATAGACGAATAGTTGGAACAGAACATGTGATGTCCCGAGTTTTTTAATATTAACAAAAGGGGAATATTTTTAAAAGGGAATAAATAAATGTTACACAAAAAAAGGCGGCAGTTGAACAATCGCCAGTCGTACTCTGGCCGGCGACAGACGCAATGTGAGGAGGAGGAAGTAGGATACCAACCCCGATTAGCAGCCAGATTTTTGTGGATTTGGGGCGTTCGGGGAAGCTTAAATCAATAGAGGGCCACGGATTCCGATGGGAATGTTCATTGAGAGAGGGAAAACTCGAGAACTATACCCACGGTTGCCGGAGGAGTTGAGCTGCGAATTAGTGGAGTTTGAGCAAGCGCCGGGCCTCAAATTCATGGGGGTTTCGTTGCAAAAACATTGAACGAGAGCGTGGCGAAGGGAATTGGACCAAGGAGCTCAAGGAAGCCAATAACCGGATTTGAGTTAGGTGATTTCTTCGTGGATTTTTCCTGAGTATTCCCCATGCGATTTCTTAACGAAAACGGACGATTCTTGTGGCTACAGACTCACCGGGAGGAGCTCAACAACGTCGGTGAAAAATTCATAGGCCAAGGGCGCTTGAACGAGAAGATCGAGTTTGGTTTGAAGGTATGAATTTTTGGACATTCCGCGAGTTTCAGAGAGCATTATCTTGCTTGTTTCAAGAATCGGCGAAGCAAAGACGGAGGAAGCAGCCGGGCGGGGTTGGTCCGTCTGGAAGATAAAGATACGGTTCAAGTGAGCCGGTACGGTCAGACCGGATCAGATTTTGGTTTCTCGCCTGATTTTGGCTAATTTTACACAGATTTCTTCTAGATTTTCTTTAATGCATGAATGATGTATGACCTAGATCCTATGCGACCTAGACGATACGTATGATATGTATAACCTAGTCTTAGCTTATGATTTACTGGACCAACCATGTTTAGGGTCTGTTATGATATTATGAGTCAACTAGGCCTTTGTAGGGATGGCTAGAACGTAAACTCACTCGACTAGTGATGATCTACTTAGCATATAGGAACGTGACGTCACCCACTTAGAGTCTATGACACACTAGAGAATATTACTGAGAGAGCTCCAGTTGTGCTTAGTAGGGAGCTAACCTTACACTATTTAAGAGCCTAGAATGCTAAGAGAATATTGGAATTCGTTAGGTTTCATTTGGGGAACTTCTAGTTAGTGCTTAGTAGTAGGCACGTATGGAGATATAGGGAGATTGAGAGGTTACCTATAGTGAGTTGCGACTGCACCATACCTATTAGACTTCTATAAAGCCCAAAACAAACAAGGGCACACCAACCTATGAGTAGGAAGCACGATGACTAGATAGACCATGGAGAGTAGAAAATGAGAGGCTAAGTACACCTTGACAACTCGACTACACCTCAATGGGTGGCTTATGTCACGGTCCTGCATTCTTGACAGTGCGGCGTCGTGATCTATACACGCTCACGACCAGCCTTAAGGAGAATTAAGCCCCGTTATATTTTTCGCCCCGGCTTTGTGGCTTCGTCGGACCTTAGGCGAGGTTTGTCTTCGCCAATCGAACATCGCTTGTGCGGAATCCAAGCTTGTTCAACCACACATGCCGCCTGTGCGTGTATGTTCAATCATCTGCGACACATCCGACTTGCCTCTACGCTAGGCCAACTCATTCAGCTCGACCTTGCCTCTGCTCGGGCCAAGGTCTCTCAATACAACGTCGCATCTCGTCTTGCCATCTCGATCCCCATCGACAGGGTCCATATGTCTTGACGCCATCCCGAGTCTCGGGATGTCGTCGCTCATCATAACTCGTTCGGTCATGCCATCGAGAATGGGCCCGCGTGTCGTTCATCTCATCGGGACTTCCCGAACATCCATCCATCCGGGTTCTATCGAGGCATAGGCCCTCCCGTGCCCATGCCGAGTCATTTACGGATACCGTACCGGATAGCGGGTGTATGTAGCAACCTCCAACACGCGGGCTAGGGCGCAATACCGGCACACCCGTGCCGTCCGGTACTGTCCTTCAAAAACCCATTTCAAAGGAAGTCGCCCCGAGACACTCGTCTCGGCACGCTCGCCCACACTGTGACACACGTATGTGCCACAGGGTAGCTCACTTAGGCCACAGGGCCCAGGGGTGGTGGAGAGCTAACACCATGGTACCCCCTATAGTACATTTTGAGCCATTTTCATTCTACCAGGAGTAGACATGATTTTCGTGAGGTGTCATACGGTGTCGTGCATTGTCCGTCCCATGTCCGATTGACACCAAACTTGGCGAGCATTCATATTTCATATGGACGGACTTAACTCCCGAACCGCATGACCAAATTCCTTCCGGAACCTCGACTTTTGAGGTTAAGGCCCGGGGCCCTACCCGGCCCTTCAACAAGCCTATCTTGTCCTTCATGTCTATGCTGATGTCTCTGTTATGCTTGTGTCTCAACATGTCTTCAATGCCCACTTTGCGTGGTGGTGTGTTGGATGATGCATCGTCCTCCTCGATCGCATCATGGCATTCTTCTACGTTGGCCCGCATATGGCCGGATGGGCGTCTCTTGAGGGACGCCCCTTTGCTTGTCATGGCGTGAGGGTCACAACCTACTCTCTTCATAGTAAGGTTGTGACATTCTCCCCCACTTAACTTAGTCATCGTCCTCGATGACTTACTCGAGTCACAATCATATTGCGGATTGTGACATTCTCCCCTACTTGATTTAGTCATCGTCCTCGATGACTTTCTCGGGCGCGTTCGCCCCACCTATTGTGAAGTTCTCCCCTACTCAATCTCGGCATCGTCCCGATGACGATCCGACTCTTTGTCTGTTGGCGACTTGACTCGCTGGATTTGGTTGTGCTTCAGAAAAATCTTCTATTGTCGAGCACCTGACGATCTTTTGTCATAATGCTCTCCCTGCTGACGTCTTATGCCAACTTGGGACAAGTTCGAGTGGATGCTTCTGACTTCTCTTTTGTCAGGTGGCACCACGTTCTGACTCTTGACTTGGTCAGTTGTTGGGTGAACTTGTCCTCACTTAGGCTTGTTCCTTTATCTACAGCTATCCCCATTCGGACCTATTTCTGTTGTTCGCCCATCTTGGACTCGGCCACCGAGACTCGCAACGTAGACGTGACTCTTCAGCGTTTGCCATAGTTGTGGGTGAGGCTGACTCTCTTTGCAGACACTCACCAGACAAGTATGGACTTCAGAGGGCACTTTTGCCCTATTTTGGCCAACTTGGCCCCAGTGTGTGCATCCTCTTTGGATCACATAAACTAGTGCACCCCTCGGGGTGGGGCTCGCAAGCCCAGCCGCGACACTCTTTGGTTGCGACCACTTCTCCTATGAATTAATTCACCCCCTTGGGGTGCGGCTCGAAAGCCCGGCCGCAACACTCTTTGGTTGCGACCACTCCTCCTATTGAGCAAAGTCAACTCTTTGACAGTCTCTTCCTTTGTTGGCGCTAACTTTCGGCCAACTCTTTGTATTTTGTCACATCGTGTGACTACTGTTGTGTGTGAACTTCCAGCTTGTTGCTCACTTCCCGAGCGGATACTGGTCTTGACATCTGTTGGTGGAGTCATCCACCCTAGGCACAAGGTGGTGACTCAAGGAATACACGTGTGCTCGTATGTCCGAGCACCTTTACGGGGTGAGAGACTTATTGATGTTGCTCTTCCCCGCTCGAACTCAGCTGCCTCTTTGCAGCAAGGTCGTCCCCCCATAAGGACTCACATTGTATACGGCTCTTGCACTCGGCCGACGTTTGTCTTTTCTTGGCTCTCGGCTTCTCTGCTTGCAACCACTGACACTATTCCTCCAATGTGAATGGTTCTTTGGAAGGCACCGTCATGGTGCTTTCTGTTTCATCTGTCTTGTCTACTTCGAAACTGCAAGCTCTTCTCAGGTGAGCTTGGTTTTTGCTTGACGGGTAGATCTTCCCATATTGAGGTGTCGACACACGACACTAATGAAATTCGGGTAGTCTTGGCTTCAACCCCCAACTGATTATAATTCTGACCGGCAACTGTCCTGCCCATTACGGCACTCTTGACACACTTGCAAGGTCTTCGATCAACTCTTGGGTTTGTTTCTCTTGACTGTCTTGCCCGACTAGACACACAAAGTGTGGCTCTGATACCAACTGTCACGGTCCTACATTCTTGACCGTGCGGCGTCGTGATCTATACATGCTCACGACCAGCCTTAAGGGGAATTAAGCCCCATTATATTTTTCGCCCCGGCTTTGTGGCTTCGTCGGACCTTAGGCGAGGTTTGCCTTCGCCAATCGAACATCGCTTGTGCGGAATTCAAGCTTGTTCAACCACACACGCCGCCTGTGCGTGTATGTTCAATCATCTGCGACACATCCGACTTGCCTCTACGCTAGGCCAACGCATTCGGCTCGACCTTGCCTCTGCTCGGGCCAAGGTCTCTCAATACAACGTCGCATCTCGTCTTGCCACCTCGATCCCCATCGACAGGGTCCATATGTCTTGACGCCGTCCCGAGTCTCGGGATGTCGTCGCTCATCATAACTCGTTCGGTCATGCCATCGAGAATGGGCCCACGTGTCGTTCATCTCATCGGGACTTCCCGAACATCCATCCATCCGGGTTCTATCGAGGCATAGGCCCTCCCGTGCCCATGCCGAGTCATTTGCGGATACCGTACCGGATAGCGGGTGTATGTAGCAACCTCCGACACGCGGGCTAGGGCGCAATACCGGCACACCCGTGCCGTCCGGTACTGTCCTTCAAAAACCCATTTCAAAGGAAGTCGTCCCGAGACACTCGTCTCGGCACGCTCGCCCACACTGTGACATACGTATGTGCCACAGGGTAGCTCACGTAGGCCACAGGGCCCAGGGGTGGTGGAGAGCTAACACCATGGTACCCCCTATAGTACATTTTGAGCCATTTTCATTCTAAAAGGAGTAGACATGATTTTCGTGAGGTGTCATACGGTGTCGTGCATTGTCCGTCCAATGTCCGATTGATACCAAACTTGGCGAGCATTCATATTTCATATGGACGGACTTAACTCCCGAACCGCATGACCAAATTCCTTCTGAAACCTCGACTTTTGAGGTTAAGGCCCAGGACCCTACCCGGCCCTTCAACAAGCCTATCTTGTCCTTCATGTCTATGCTGATGTCTCTGTTATGCTTGTGTCTCAACATGTCTTCAATGCCCACTTTGCGTGGTGGTGTGTTGGATGATGCATCGTCCTCCTCGATCGCATCATGGCATTCTTCTACGTTGGCCCGCATATGGCCGGATGGGCGTCTCTTGAGGGACGCCCCTTTGCTTGTCATGGCGTGAGGGTCACAACCTACTCTCTTCATAGTAAGGTTGTGACATTCTCCCCCACTTAACTTAGTCATCGTCCTCGATGACTTACTCAGGTCACAATCATATTGCGGATTGTGACATTCTCCCCTACTTAATTTAGTCATCGTCCTCGATGAATTTCTCGGGCGCGTTCGCCCCACCTATTACGAAATTCTCCCCTACTCAATCTCGGCATCGTCCCGATGACGATCCGACTCTTTGTCTGTTGGCGACTTGACTCGCTGGATTTGGTTGTGCTTCAGAAAAATCTTCTATTGTTGAGCACCTGACGATCTTTTGTCATAATGCTCTCCTTGCTGACGTCTTATGCCAACTTGGGACAAGTTCGAGTGGATGCTTCTGACTTCTCTTTTGTCAGGTGGCACCACGTTCTGACTCTAGACTTGGTCAGTTATTGGGTGAACTTGTCCTCACTTAGGCTTGTTCCTTTATCTACGGCTATCCCCCTTCGGACCTATTTCTGTTGTTCGCCCATCTTGAACTCGGCCACCGAAACTCGCAACGTAGACGTGACTCTTCAGCGTTTGCCATAGTTGTGGGTGAGGCTGACTCTCTTTGCAGACACTCACCAAACAAGTATGGACTTCAGAGGGCACTCTTGCCCTATTTTGGCCAACTTGGCCCCAGTGTGTGTATCCTCTTCGGATCACATAAACTAGTGCACCCCTCAGGGTGGGGCTCGCAAGCCCAGCCGCGACACTCTTTGGTCGCGACCACTTCTCCTGTGAACTAGTGCACCCCTCGGGGTGGGGCTCGCAAACCCAGCTGCAACACTCTTTGGTCGCGACCACTTCTCTTGTGAATTAATTCACCCCTTGGGGTGGGGCTCGCAAGCCCGGCCGCAACACTCTTTGGTTGCGACCACTTCTCCTATTGAGCAAAGTCAACTCTTCGACAATCTCTTCAGTTGTTGGCGCTAACTTTCGGCCAACTCTTTGTATTTTGTCACATCGTGTGACTACTGTTGTGCGTGAACTTCCAGCTTGTTGCTCACTTCTCGAGCGGATACTGGTCTTGACATCTATTGGTGGAGTCATCCACCCTAGGCACAAGGTGGTGACTCAAGGAATACACGTGTGCTCATATGTCCGAGCACCTTTACGGGGTGAGAGACTTATTGATGTTGCTCTCCCCCGCTCGAATTCAGCTGCCACTTTGCAGCAAGGTCGTCCCCCCATAAGGACTTACATTGTATACGGTTTTTGCACTCGGCCGACGCTTGTCTTCTTTGACTCTCGGCTTCTCTGCTTGCAACCACTGACACTATTCCTCTACTGTGAATGGTTCTTTGGAAGGCACCATCATGGTGCTTTCTGTTTCAGCTGCCTTGTCTTACTTCGGAACTGCAAGCTCTTGTCAAGTGAGCTTGGTTTTTTGCTTGACGGGTAGATCTTCCCATATTGAGGTGTCGACACACGACACTAATGAATTTCGGGTAGTCTTGGCTTCAACCCCCAACTGATTATAATTCTGACCGGCAACTGTCCTGCCCACTTCGGCACTCTTGACACACTTGCAAGGTCTTCGATCAACTCTTGGGTTTGTTTCTCTTGACTGTCTTGCCCGACTAGACACACAAAGTGTGGCTCTGATACCAACTGTCACGGTCCTGCATTCTTGACCGTGCGGCGTCGTGATCTATACACGCTCACGACCAGCCTTAAGGGGAATTAAGCCCCGTTATATTTTTCGCCCCGGCTTTGTGGCTTCGTCGGACCTTAGGCGAGGTTTGTCTTCGCCAATCGAACATCGCTTGTGCGGAATCCAAGCTTGTTCAACCATACACGCCGCCTGTGCGTGTATGTTCAATCATCTGCGACACATTCGACTTGCCTCTACGCTAGGCCAACTCATTCGGCTCGACCTTGCCTCTGCTCGGGCCAAGGTCTCTCAATACAACGTCGCATCTCGTCTTGCCATCTCGATCCCCATCGACAGGGTCCATATGTCTTGACGCCATCCCGAGTCTCGGGATGTCGTCGCTCATCATAACTCGTTCGGTCATGCCATCGAGAATGGGCCCGCGTGTCGTTCATCTCATCGGGACTTCCCGAACATCCATCCATCCGGGTTCTATCGAGGCATAGGCCCTCCCGTGCCCATGCCGAGTCATTTACGGATACCGTACCGGATAGCGGGTGTATGTAGCAACCTCCAACACGCGGGCTAGGGCACAATACCGGCACACCCGTGCCGTCCGGTACTGTCCTTCAAAAACCCATTTCAAAGGAAGTCGTCCCGAGACACTCGTCTCGGCACGCTCGCCCACACTGTGACATACGTATGTGCCACAGGGTAGCTCACTTAGGTCACAGGGCCCAGGGGTGGTGGAGAGCTAACACCATGGTACCCCTATAGTACATTTTGAGCCATTTTCATTCTAAAAGGAGTAGACATGATTTTCGTGAGGTGTCATACGGTGTCGTGCATTGTCCGTCCAATGTCCGATTGACACCAAACTTGGCGAGCATTCATATTTCATATGGACGGACTTAACTCCCGAACCGCATGACCAAATTCCTTCCGAAACCTCGACTTTTGAGGTTAAGGCCCGGGGCCCTACTCGGCCCTTCAACAAGCCTATCTTATCCTTCATGTCTATGCTGATGTCTCTGTTATGCTTGTGTCTCAACATGTCTTCAATGCCCACTTTGCGTGGTGGTGTGTTGGATGATGCATCGTCCTCCTCGATCGCATCATGACATTCTTCTGCGTTGGCCCGCATGTGGCCGGATGGGCGTCTCTTGAGGGACGCCCCTTTGCTTGTCATGGCGTGAGGGTCACAACCTACTCTCTTCATAGTAAGGTTGTGACATTCTCCCCCACTTAACTTAGCCATCGTCCTCGATGACTTACTCAGGTCACAATCATATTGCGGATTGTGACAACTTACACCCTTGAAGTAGGAGTAAATAAGGTATACAAACCTTAAGAGTCTACATAAACCTACTTGTAAGCTGCTCACGGAATATTTCTATACTCATTCATACTATTTTTTTGTTTACAGATGGATCCTAGTTCACTGTTCTATGACAAAGCCTGTGAAGTCATGTGGCTATCGAAAGGACCCACGATTGAATCATATTCTCTTTTACATTATTTACGTATTTTTTTCTCCATAGATATGTTTTTGTACTTTTGATACTTTTATGACATGCAAAGTAAAAAAAAAAGAAAAAAAATCACATCATGAACTCACACGACAGTCAGTGATTCGAAACCTAAAAAAAAAAAAGTAATCTTTAAATTCAAACAACAGTGATGAACGTTTAACTAGTACTCTTTCATGTATCAAATCACCGTTTGAACCAAAGTTCACCGAAAACAAGGTATGAACAATATCAATATAAACAGATTATTCAATCGTAGTCATGAATTCAATAGACTCAAACCCGATGAACGCAATCAAATAAAGAAAATCCATTTTTTCATTAAGTAATTGATTAGAGAGAGAGAGAGACCTTGACCACAGCCAAGCTTGACACTCTTGAAAGAAGTATAGTGGCGCAGAAAGTGAAGCAGAGTAGTGGAAGGGTCAACAGCGGTGAGCTCAAACCTCTGCTGATTAACGGCAAACACCAGAGGAGCCGCCGCCGCTTCCGTTGCCTGATTCTCCATTGTCGATGCCCGGAACAAAACCGGCTTCCACCTCGTATTTTATACACAACCACCAACGGATAAGTGCACAACAATTTCATATAAATTAAATACTTAATTTTATTAATCCTTTTATTTCTTATTAAATTTTATTAACCGTGCGTATAAAGACAAGAAAAGTACCTGAACTTCACAAGGATCGCTCGAGACCATTAAGCGTCAAAAAAATCACCATGCTAGCACCATAAGCAATCGAACTAATTACAAGCTGCAACGCGGGAATAATGATAAATAAAATTTTATTTATTTATTTATTATTATTTTTTATTTTTTAATAATGACAAGAAACTAATTTAATTTGTATTCCTGTTTTTTTTAATAACTAAGTAAGTTTTTAATGAAATTATATAATTTTTTAACTATATAACAATGAAAATATTTAACTATTTTTTTTATATATAATTTTAACTAATTAAATATGTTAGCTTAATTAATAATTTTAGTAAATAAATATTTCATTTATAAATAAAAATTTATTTGTCAAAATAAATTTAATATATATTTAAATAAATTATTATTGATTTATTATAATTAAATAAATAATTATATTAATTTTGGTAAACTAAAATCAATTAAAATATAATAAATTAAAAGGGAAAAAAAGAGAGAAACACATGGTTTTTTTTTCTTTCAAAAAAAGGGTTTACAAAACCATACTTTTAAACCATATAATAACTTTTATTATTTTTTTTATCAATTTTAAAACATTTCGTATACTCAACTTCCTCCCACCAAGTCAAACCTATAAGTAGTCATTTTTTAAAGCCCTTTCAACTATATATATATATTTATTTATTTTAATGCTTAAATGAATAATTAATTTTTTTTATAAAAAATAAATAATAATAATAATAACGCTCGTTTTTTACTTTGTTTGCATTTGACAATATTTTTTAATTTCTTCATCAAATTTTTATTAATATAAAATCTTATTTTTGTTTTATTTTTCTATTCTCATAATTTTTAAGACTAATATATATATATATATATAATTTCCTAAAAACAAAAAATTCCTATTATCCCCTCTCGTCTCATCCAATCACATGTTCTTCCTCCATCCCAATAATTCAGACCTTTCAATCAATTATTGCTTCCATAATTTTCTCCATATTTATTGCACAAAATTCAAATTATTTTAATAAAAGAAAGAAATATCTTAATAATAATAATAATAATAAATGACATTTTTTTATATTTGTCTCGATTTTTGCAAAGAAAGCTTTGAAATTTTGGTTGGCTTCAACAAATTATTTTTTTAACCTATTTTTAAGTCTAAGCTCTAGATTCTTATTTTTCCTTGGGCTATTTCTTATTTATCTTATTATTGCTTTCGCATTTATTTTATTATTTATTATTTATCTTACGTATTATATCTTAATATTTTTTATTTATGATTTGATTTACTGTATATTTTATTTTATTCTTAATATTTAATTATTTTATATTTTCTTCGTTTGTATGAATTGGGTGCTATTGTAAGTGGTGGGAATATCATTGGTTCATTAGTTGGACGATACGGGATCGTCGGGTAAGAAGAAGAGAAGTGTAGAATTGAGAGGGAGATCGAGAGAGATAAGGGAGAAGAAAAGGAATTCTAGATTTTAGGTCAAATAATCAAATTTCTCATTAACCTCGACTTTAATTAGAAATTACATAATGCAAGTAAACCATTAATAATTTACATAACCCAAGCCATAATTGAGGTTAAATTTATACGTGATGTCGTTTATCACATGTTGCAATTCACGATTTAGTTTCATTTCATCATGGATTTCTTTTGAAATTTTCTTATATTTTAATATAATTTTATTTACATTTAATTTTAATAGCTCAAACGAATGGAAGCTATTTTAGAGAGGGAAAGAAGTGGAAGACGAGTTAGTTTAAGGGGGGTGTGCATCGAGCCAGAGGAGAGACCTGATTTAAATATATGACTTCTTGATGGAAGGTATATGTTAATTATCAGTTAAACTCACATTAATCTTTAGAACAACAAATATGTGAATGCTAAAGTAAGTTTAGCTCAGCAGTAATTGATATGTAATATCAATCCATATGTTTTTCAATTTTACATTGTAATTTCATATTAGTTTGCCTCCTTTTATTACATTTCTTTATCCTTCCATTCATTAGAGGTTTCTAGATATCAAGATATTCTAGAAATATTATAAAACAAGACAAATGTGTGGTCATGTTGTCTAACCTTTGCTACAAATACTAAAGTGTCGTAGGGTCCTAATGTGAGATACCATCTCCGTTGGAAAGGGGAACGAAACATTGTTTATAAGGGTGTCGAAATCTTTTTCCTAGCAGATGCGTTTTAAAAATCTTGAGGAGAAACTCGAAAGAGAAAACCCAAAAAAGACAATATCTACTAATGGTGAAATTGGTCGTTATATTTAGGAAGTGTCTTGTAATCTCTTCCGGATAAGTCTCTATTTTCCAGGGGATAGCAGTATTAATTCAGCCCACTACTCTGACTTCTTTAGCTTCCTAGAATTTAAGAGTTCATCCAAACCCATCTCTCTACTACCAGAAAAGGCAATTTACCAGAGCCATCATTTCAAAAGGCTTCATCAGAAAATGAGCAATGTAGGTAAGCTGATGATTTTATTTTTGCTATTTTTCTTTCTTTGTTTTTGCATTCGCATGTTAGAGCAATAATCTCTTTTCGTTATTTCAACGAAAAGTTATATTTCTCGTCACAAAGGTCAAGAAGTAAATAACGAACGTTTTTACTCGAGTTCGCAGTCTACAACTAGCACTAATAGCCCTCACTTGAAAAGTAAAATCACAAGTAACCCATGATCTTTGTAGTTCTATTTATTTATCTGCTGCAAATAAACTTAGAAGATGAGAAAGTGCATTACCTCATAAACTGATAGTATTTTCACATTACATTCATTATCATGAATTTATTGGCATGACTTGTGTTTTGGGAGGAAAAGTTTGTGGTCAGCTCGCTGTGCTTCTCCATTCCTTGATCCATTTCAGGTAACTTTCCACAGAGTCCAGCCCACAGAGCTCTTTAACAACAGGCATGGTAGCTGGAACCTCTAGCTGTAACGCGTAACCAGACTCATCTCGACGTTTCCATGTACATATCTGTTTTCGTGCCTCTTTAATAGCAGCTCGTGTTGCACAGTGGACTGATGCAGCTAGAAGCAATGGTGATTCTCCTGAAGCTGCACAAATGCATTTCATTTAATTAAATCCCACTTCAAATAAACCCTTCTACAACATCAATATACACAGATTTCTCACCCTCACTACAATTGCTACCACTTACCTCCAGATCAATAAATTACGAACCAGTTTGGAATGACTCTTTAAGGGCAAACACTTCCGTAAATGTTTAGAAAGTCATTTCAAACAGATCTTATACATGCGTTTTTACTATTTGGACATGTCTTAGACAACAGTTTTTACTACTGATCTTGTTAAATGCTATCGTTTTTCCTTTCTTACTTCTGCGTTAAGCCTGCATATGATGGTGGAACCTATAATTCCAATGCATATTGTAATGTTTGCATGAGGCCTTAGCTGAAAAGCTAAAAACCGTATAAAAGAAAAAGTCTACTAACGTCTACAACAGAGCAAATGAAAGTATAGTCAATTGGACCCTGCAGAGGAATCAAGAAAAATATCTAGAGTTTTTTCTTCTAAGAGCAAGGGAATTACATTCTCTTCCAACCTATAATCAAAAGCCAATGAAGTTTAAACTTACCTTTTGAAGAGAGGATGTGGTTTTTATGACGTCCAGAGTTCAAAATTTCAACATTCAACTGTTTTGGAATGGTGTCAATCGTAGGAATTTTGTAAGTCCATGTGCTGTCAGTAATAACTAATCCATCAGGATTTGTGAGGTATTCTTCTGACATAAAAAATCCAATTCCTTGAACAAAGGCTCCTTCAATCTGCACAGAATGATTCTTGATCATTAGAAGATCTGCCCCTTGGATATCCGATCAATCTACCCCCACTTACAAATAGGTATATGAAACTTAAGTGAGTCCAAACTCAAAGCACAAGAGATTGAAAAACAAATTAGGAAATCAATTTTGTGCTTAGTGTAGCTATTAACCTGTCCCAAATCTACAGCAGGATTGACGCTTCGTCCACAATCATGGATTATATCTGAACGCAAAATTGTGGTTTCTCCAGTGAGAAGATCAAGCTCCACCTGTCAAGGCATGAATTTGGTGAGTTGAACTTTGCAGTAAAATAAAGTGGCATTGAAGTAGCAGCCAACTGCTTCTTTTTAACTTGAAAATGTTGATACAATGGTAAACACAGAAGGAGATGTTGTTAATGGACGTGCCTCACTCACTGCAGCTCCATAGTTTAAGTAGTTCCTTGAAACAGAGTCAGGAACATACAAAGAATTAACTGATAAATTCACTGATTGCAAGTTCGCCTGCAGTTTTTCCGACAAGAAATGTCAACGGTGTTATGCACCCAAGCATATGACATGAATCACACGTCCAAAAATATTCTTATGTGGTATGAAAACTGCTCACTCAAGGAACTAACAATGCATAACTACAAATCAACTATCAGACTAAAGCATGGCCGCCACTTAGTTTCATAAATAGAATATATAATGTATAAAACCGAAACATGAAGACCTTCAACATGTGTTCCAACTCAAAAAACAGGTCTCATGAAAATGTTGAGTTCATAAGAAAAAGAAAAAAAATCACTATGTTCATAAAAAATATCAGAAATAACTTTCTGCACTACATCTAGTAGCTTCAAATAATTGTTTAGAAGTTAGGAATTTTTTTTAAAGAAACTAATTTCAGGTGAACATGTAATAATAAGACTTTCAGAACAAAGCATGTGAATCAATAACACTTGGATCATGGATGTTCCTCCCACACTAAAAAAAAAAATATTATCTCCAAACTATAGGAAGAAATGTCAATATAGAAAGAAAACATGATTGCTTAATCATAAAATGTTCTACGAGATGA